TAAAGTTTTTGGGGTTTGGGGAAGAAACCACAGAGTCAGGTAGAGTATTCCAGACATTGACCAATCTGTTGCTGAAGTCATATTTCCTGCAATCAAGTTTGCATTTTAACCAACTCGGAAGGAGGGAAGGCTGAGTCAACCTTGAGCCTGGTGAGATTTGAACTGCCAAATTGCAGGCAACCAGCAGTCAGCAGACAGAGCCTGCAGTACTGCACTCTAATCATTGTGCCACCGTGGCTCGTGAAATGTCTGCAAGAAATCAATCAAGCTCAGAGAGCACCAAGGACCCCCTCATGTCAACCCTGAGCTACAAATATTCTCCTCTATGGTATAAGGTCTCCTGTTGGAGCAGGGAATTGGACTAGAACAGGGGTGTCAAACTCAAGGCCCGGGGGCTAGAAGCGGCTTGCAGGGTGCTTAGATCTGGCCCGGGGGGGGGGGGGCCCTTAAAACAGAGAAGGACCATTACGCATTGCCTCTGCCAGCGAAAACGGAGCTTGGGAGGGCCAGGTGGGCTCCATTTTCGCTGGCAGAGGCTTGCAGGAGGCCATCGCAGCCAAAAATGGAGCTCTGGAGCCTATTTTCTCTGACAGAGCACTTGGGGCACCACAGGTGCCCTTGACATGAGTGATGTTCAGCTGGCCATGCCCACCTTGGCCACGCCTACCCCAACCTCCTGAGCTTAAATATGCAGCCCTCAATTAAATCAAGTTTGACACCCCTGGACTAGGAGATCTCCAAGGCCTCTTCCAACTCTGTTATTTCTTAACCCAATTTCTGGGTGCAAACAACACCCTTGAATTGTAAACTAACCAATGGGTAGTGTGCTAAGCCACAAAAAAACAAAGCAAAGTTCAAAAAAAAAATAACCCTGTTAGGTATGCACAAATGCAGGTGTTTTATTTATTATCCATTTATTAGATGTTTATCCCATCTTTATTACTTTATAAGTGACTCAAGTTGACAGGCATGCATAATATTCCTTCCTCCTGCTATTTTGATTTTGGGTCCTTTACTCACCTGGAAATTTAGAACTGCTTAGGCTGAGAAGACAAGATGCTTCTCCCTCAGTTAATTTCATGTCTGAACCTAGATTTAAATCTGGGTCTTCCCGGTTTATACTTACTTATTGGATATTTGTGGTTAGATGACCAATTTCCATTTCAATATTGTTATTGTTGTAATAGTTTCTTGCACCCAGGTGTGAATCCTATGTCAATCCCGCACTTCACATCATGAAAACTTTCCATGCAGGAAAAAAAAATCCCCCCAAATGTATGATGTACAAATGATCAGCAGAGATAGCAGTGGGCGTTCATAATGCCAAAGGAAAAAGACTAGCACTTTGTTCATCTATTAACTGTAGGAATTTTCAGAACATTTTATAGCAGATTTTCAAAACTGCAGTATTTTGACCTTCTAAACTTTCTGTGTGTGGTTTATTCCCGTGTTTCGAAGAGTTTATTTTTCTGGGGGTTTGCACGTTCCTTTTATGTCTGACTTTTGTAAGATGCACTAATTTGGGGTGAGGGGGTAGTCAGACTTGAAGTAAACAAGAATGAGAGATTTGAGAGGGTATAATGCTGATTGTTTAAGCTTTAAAGCCTTTGAAAAAGGCAGACTTTTTTTAAAAAAAATAGTCCTTGTATGTTGTAATGTAAGCAGAATGTAAGAAGAAAATCACTAGTAGATTTTTTTTTAACATAAAATATGTTCATGTTTGCAGTCAGGATTCTTCTATTTTTAAAAATGAACAGAAAATTTGATTAATTAGAACGCTGTTAAGACACCGGTGCTGCTTATTATGTTAGCAGAAAAGTTAATTAATCACCAGAGAACTGGATTTGCAAGCAAGCATATATAGGGGAAATAAAAGACCAGAGTCACAGATTGCCGTGCACATGCACAACACATACATAACACAATCACACACACTTCTTTTAACCTTAAAAAATTTAAAGCACATTGCCCAAACAGGTAATTACTTGGAACAACATTTCCTAAACCATTATATTCGAGAAGTGTTGAGCCAGTAACTCACATAACTAACTAAATAACATAGGAAATCTTGAATTCTGCTTATGATTTATTTACGTTATGTCATGCAAAAGCCAAATTTGAGGCCATCGTTGTGGCCAAAGGACCACATTTCATTCTTCCCTTCCTCCTGCATCCCTTTTTCTAATGACTCTATTCCACCATCACTTTGATATTAGTGTAACTCTTGTCCCACAACAAATTGTCCCATAGTGAGTTGGCCATGGCAAGTGGTTCCGCAATGAGTTGGCCATGGCAAGTTGACCATGGGGAATTAACATAGACACCACCACCACCCCAAGAAAATCCAGTTGCCTTTTGGAAAAAGTACCTTTTGGACAATCAAGACCTGAGTGATTGAGAATCTCTATAGACTTTTATTTTATTTTATGTACAAGATATCAAGTATAGTTATGAACATAAACACGAACAAAGGAAGTAAATACAGAGAAATGGGGACAGTAAGACAGGGACAGTAGGCACACTTGTGAACTTATGCATGTCCCCTTTAAGGACGTCTTAGGAATGGGTTGAGGTCTACGATAGACAGTTTGAGGTTGAAGCTGTGAGGGTTTGAGGCAGTAACAACGGAGTCATTCCAAGCGTTGACCACTCTGTTGCTGAAGTCATATTTTCTGCAATTGAGTTTGAAGCGGTTTACTTTGAGTTTGTATCGATTGTTTGCTCGTGTATTATTGTGGTTGAAGCTGGCATTTTAACATCAAGGCATAAAGAAACACTGGGAATATTAAGGAACATGGATCAAAATCATTACTCCCTCCTTTTTATTCCTTGTATATATCAATATTTGAAATAGCTCTATTTCCCTTGTAGAAGATGGTGAAGACAAGTGTTCTGACTTGATTTTGTACCATGCAATTTAATGATGTGGAAAAAGTAACGTCCCTGTGTTCAGAGTCCCACTTCTAGGGTAATAGCGAGCTGATTAGCTTCATCCTTTCTCTTCCTCGCTGGCTTTTTCCTCTTGTATAAATTTAGTTTAATTGCCAGCCTTATCTTGAAATGGCTCTTTAAACGACCTCTTGTTAGGTCTACTTAAAGATCATGTGCCTTTGTGCGTTTGGCAGGCTCTGGAAATCAGCACTCAACTCACACACGTACACACCCCCAAACAAGCATTGTAACGAATACAGAAACAACACCAGCAGTATAGGGAGGAGGGGGAGGGAGAAGAGACCTCTATTAACACATCCCACTGCACTCCCTTGATTGCATAATCAACAGCTAATGAAATTGTCCTAGTAACCGGGAATGAGGGGGTTGAAGCACATCCCCTTGAGACTGAAGTGGAAAGAGAATTGTGCCACATGAAGCCTATTGATTGTTCACTGTTTGAATCTGATTACCCTTAAGAGGAGTAAAACAAGGATGCCATCTCCCAACTTGGCTCACGTGGTTGTCGTTTGCATGGAAAGTTGCCGTTGGGATTCACGGTGAGAAGCGCAAGCATCTCAACGTGTTGTCAAGATGAGGTCAGGAGGATGCGGACTATAATTAGCTAGCTTATTCGCAGTGGGTTAGGGTAAGGTTGTCAGTGTGGTGGCATGTTGTCTTTGCTGGTCATAGAAATGTTCTTCAAAACTCTGAAGGAACTTGAGAAGCATCAGGAAAATAAGCTGCAAGAAGAGAACAATAGCACTAGCACTTAAGACTTATATACCGCTTGACAGTGCTTTACAGCCCTCTCTAAGCGGTTTACAGAGTCAGCCGATTGCCTTCGAACAATTAGGACCCTCATTTTATCCACAGGATGGAAGGCTGAGACAAACTTGAGCCTGGTGAGATTTGAACTGCCAAATTGCAGGCAACCGGCAGTCAGCAGAAGTAGGCTGCAGTACTACACTCTAACCACTGCATACTGAACTCTAACCAGGGGTGGGATTCTACCAGTTCGCATCTATTCGCTAGAGCCGGTTGTTAACATTCTAAGCAGTTTGGAGAACTGGTTGTTAGAAGAAATTACTGGCCTAATCCTGTAAGGAAGGCAGGAAGGAAACATTCTGGTGCTGCTTATAGAAACTGCCTCTCTGTTAACCCTTATTGCATTCTTGGCAGGACTAGACTTCATCCCTCAGGAACATCTCTGGAGTTTTTTTCCCCTCCTTTTCCTGGTACTTTGCTTGTGTGGAGTGACCATTCAAAGTTACAATGGCACTGAAAAAAGTGACATGACCATTTTTCACACTTACGACTGTTGCAGCATCCCACAGTCACGAGAGGCCAGGCGAGGAGATGCATGCCTCAATGTGAGTGATATTGAGTTGGCCACACCCAGCCAATAACATGGCCACCAAGCCATGTCCACCCAGTCACATGACCACCAAGCCACACCCACCACCTAAGCCATGCCCACAGAACCGGTTGTTAAAAATTTGAATCCTACCCCTGACTCTAACCACTGCACCACCAAGGCAATGTTCCTACTTCTTCAGTAGTTTCAATAGAAGAGAATATTTGTAGCTCAGAGTTGAACTGTGCAGTCCTCGGTGCTCTCTGAGCTTGGTTGCTTTCTTGCAGATGTTTCATTACCCAACTAGGAAACATCATCAGGAGCTGAGGCAAGTAACAGGGGCTCACCCCATCATGCGGCGCTGGGGTCTCGAACCTGGGTCTTTAATTGCTACTCCATCCCATCCTCCTGCTTTAAATATGACCGTCCTTTAAAATGCTTGGATTTTGTTTTTCAAATCTGATTTTTAATTTTCAACCACCTTCTCTCCTACTCTTCCTTTCCCCAAAATACTTTTTTACTACTACTTCCTCTTTTCTTCATCCCTATTTCTCTGTTATACAGCTCCCTCGATTCCTTGACAGATCACAGAACTAACAAGGATCCGTGTTAACTCTTTGGTGCGAGCAGAGGTCATTGGTGAGAAACCGTTAGGACTTCTTCATATCCTGCCCGTGGCAATGTTTTCTTTTTCTCTTCTTCTTTGCCACAGGAGGAAACCCCAAAGGGAAGTTTGCTCTTGGCCTGGTTCAGAATGAATGGAAGGTATATGTCAAGAGACCTCTGGATCGAGAAGAGCAGGATGTCTACCTGCTGAACATTACAGCCACGGATGGACTGTTCGTAACCCAGAGTGCGGTGGAAGTGACCGTCACGGATGTTAATGACAACAGTCCTGTCTGCGATCAGGTTAGTTGGCAACTTTTTCCATGGTTGTGTTCTGACCCAGCTCCCCAAACACGACAAGCCCTCTGACGTGAACTCAAAAGATTCCTTTATTAGGAATGCTGGCAGCCCCTCGCAGGCTAACAAGTCCGTCCTGCCGGAAGATGAATAGCTGTCTGCCACATTTATTCATCTCCATCCCCTGCCTTTTATCGCCAGAGCTAGGGCGGGGCCTCACTAGCAGCAGTGGCTATTCTGTCCCAAGGATCGGCCCATGGATTTCCACTGCTCTCCTCTCCTCTGCCTTCTGCACAGCTGCGTGTCAGGCACTGGACCCAGGTGTTCCTCCTCTTCCTCATCAGCCACCTCCAGACCTGGGAGCTGTTGACTCTCCATCTGAGGGCTGACGGACGGCCCAGGCTCCACCTCTCTCTCTCTCTCTCTCTCTCTCTCTCTTTCTCTCTGTCTCTGTCTCTCTCTCTCTCTCTCTGCCAGCTCCATTCCCTCTTCCCCCTCAGAGTTCCCAGGTTGCCCTAATGCTGACCCTGATTCCTACATCTCCTCCTCCTCTGATTCAGCTGCTGGAGGGGCCAGCGGTCAACAGGCCACAACAGGATGGAAATTAAGATTAGATTAGATGAACAGATAGATAAAACTGAAGAATGGAATGGAATGGAATGGAATGGAATGGAATAGAATAGAATAGAATAGAATAGAATAGAATAGAATAGAATAGA